ACACACACACACACACACACACACACACACACACACATACAATCAGTTGTATGTTTGTCTGTTTTCCTGTTGTTGTCTGTCCTCCCCCTAATCTTTTCTTCCTCCCCCTAATCTTTTCTAAGTGTTTTTGCTTGCCCAAACTGAGCACCCTTAAGTAGTGCCAAACAGTCGGTGGTTCCTCGTTTGGAGTGCCTACTGCACTCTTATGGGGGCCACTCAGTTCGGGATGTCTGCGTTGCTTGTAGGTGATGATGGATGCTCGTCGGAGTGACTCCCTGGCTCAGTGGGTGGTGGGAACCAACAGTCTGCAGGGTTCAATCGTGATGTGAGTAGGTCATGCGCTGCTTTGCTCCGTGTTGGATGTGTGGACTGCCTCGTCTGCGCACCACCGCCGACTTGCTGCCTGTGCCCCTTGCTTTGCACGTTGTTCTCTGCAAGTTGCTGTGTTCGCTGTGTGGTGTGGCTGTGTTGTCGGTGTTGCCTTGCGCTTCGCTGCTCCGCTGCCTTGCTGCCCATCCGCTGGTCGTGCCTTCTGTGTTTCCGCGCTGCGTGCCATGTCTTTCCGTGCAGTCGTCTTTGGCGCTGTGCAGCCGTGTTGCCTCTACTGTGCTGCCTGGTGCTCCACAGGGTCGCTGCCCGCTGCTATGTTCCGCTTGGGGACAGTCTGCCTTCAACAAGGGTCAAAGGGTTCATGACCCAAACCATCTAATATGGAGATTCCCGCAGATTGTCGAGGGTTCAGCCTCCTGATGAGTCGGTGCAACTCCGACGAAACAATCTTTCATCATCAGTTTTTTTTTTTTTTTTTTTTTTTTCAGGCTCTGAAACGTGTATGGACTTTACTTCTTTCTGATTTGCCTGCCTTTTGTGCTTGTTGTTGTCTGCCGTCCTATATCCCTCGTGCCTGTTGCTGGTGTGTTGTCTTCCCTCCCTCCTCCCCCCATGCCCTCCAGCCTATGTGTTGTCTGCTTGTCTGTGGCCTGTGTGTTTCGTTCTTCTCCCTTCCTTGCCTTTGGACTCGACTCCACTCAGATGCGTATTCTCCTCTTGAAGTGTTGCGATGGTATGGTGCATGGTTTTTACTGTGCAGAAGTGTCCGCAATATGTGTTCACACACATCATCACACACACGCACACACACACACACACACACACACACACACACACACACACACACACACACACACACACACACACTCATTAGTGAGCATACCAGCACCTTCAACATACACTTACCCCCAGCCCTCTCTCTCTCTCTCTCTCTCTCTCTCTCTCTCTCTCTCTCTCTCTCTCTCTCTCTCTGTGTGTGTGTGTGTGTGCGAGGGTGCTCTCCTCGCTGTCCTGTTCTTTCTCCATCCCTCTCTTCTTCTTATTTGCACGAGTTGTGAACGAGACAGGATTCTTTGGTATGTTTTTTTGTTTTCCCTCTCTCTCCCCGGATGTTCGATTGTTATCTAGATCAACGGTTGCCATACGTGCTCCACTGAGAGGCAGGTACCTTGAATGAAGACCTAAGTTGGATTACTTCTTGTTCTTTTTTTTTAATGTCGAAGCTGGTTTGGCTATTGCTCAGCAGTCGCAGTCGTCACCCTGGCCCCCCCTTCCTCCTCCCCTCCCCCTCAACACGCACACATTTTGGCTCGGTGAAGTCTGACGAAACAGGCTGGCACAATCATGCCTTTTTTTGAGTGTATAGCGAATATGACAACCCACACAAATACTTGTTAAACCCCGTTATCGAGGACCTATGGAAGCCCTTGTAAAAGCCCCGTATAAAACCCCTATATAGACTCCCTTATAAACCCTAAACCCTAAAATTATGTTTTTTTCTACGGCTTTAGGGTTTTACGGTCTTACCTCCAATTTTCTGATTGGACTAAAGGAGGCGATACCATGAGAAAGATGTGGCCCCCCAATTGGTTAACAAATAATAACAAAATGAATCTAATTTTAATCACACGAAATTGATGTACTTCGGTTCTATCTACAAATGGCTGACTACATTCCGATAATAAAAAATGGCAAGGGCATTTGTGCAAAAAAATGCAAATTGAGAGGACATTCGTGCAAAGAATTGCAAAATGAGAGAACATGTGTGCAAAGAAGAGGACCAACTGACCGACCGCATTTGGTACACCCGTGAACCAGACCAGCGTTCAAATTCCAGTGGAATTGGATGGGGGAGGTGGGCAGGGGCATACACCAAATTTACAAATCGTCGATTTTTCGTTTTTTTTTTTTTTTTTTTTCGAGTGCTACTCGTATGTGCTCCTTACAGGTGAGCTTGTCAGATTGCAGTGGCTTCCTCATATCATCGGATCTGGTGGCAACAGCTGGACATTGCATCACCAGCACTACAGACTGCAGGCTGCATACCTCTGGCATTCCTTTCTTTGTAGTTTTCAATTTTGCTATGCTAAGTGGCAACAAAGCTTCGGTGGAGGTACTCGTTTTCCTTCCATTTCTCCTCCTCATCATCCCCCTCTTCCTCCTCCTCCTCCTCCTCCTCCTACGTCTCACTCTTTTGATTTTGTTTCTTTTGACAATTGGTTTAATTGGAAGGGCGTTGGTTCGCAAACCCATCCAATCCAAACCACTGGGTTCTGGCTGTCAGATTGCGACTGCGACTGTGACTGCGACTGCGACTGTGACTGCGACTGTGACTGCGATTGCGACTGTATATCATGTCGTGTGGCGCACCCACAACACTCGTGGGCCATCAAATCACATTTGGAGCTGCTATGCCCCTGTCAGGCCGCAAAAAAGTGTTGACGCAGTGCCCGGACACGCTGGGAAAGGCCGCCTGCCGCCATAGACCCCCATTTGGGACTCGTGGCTATTCTTCACCATGCAGTAGACCATGGACGGCTGAAAATGTTATCTATCATCCATATCCTTTGTCATGATGTGGTTCCTGTCTGTTAGAGGGGTGTGTGTGTGTGTGTGTGTGTGTGTGTGTGTGTGTGTGTGTGTGTGTGTGTGTGAGAGAGAGAGAGAGAGAGAGAGAGAGAGAGAGAGAGAGAGAGAGAGAGAGAGAGAGAGAGAGAGAGAGAGAGAGAGAGAGAGAGAGAGAGAGAGAGAGAGAGAGAGAGAGAGAGAGAGAGAACTTATGTACAAAACCATGTCACATCCGGGGAAAGAAAAAAGAACAGTGGCACAATGGGACATGATGAACCAAGCAGCAGCTCCTTTAAGACTAGAAAACATCATAAGCCGGCACAAGAATGAGCCAGCGAATATGAGAGGCATACATGGGTCGTGATGTGCATACACACGTGAGGGGGATGCATTACAGAGATATAACCATATAGAAGACCGGAAGATGAGACTGGATAAGGTGGGTTGGAGGGAAAAAAAAGAGCAACCCAAAAAAGCTAAGGGCAAAGAGAATGCTGAGAAGAAGAAGAAGAAGAAGAAGAAGAAGAAGAAGAAGAAGAAGAAAATCGCTAACGATCCAAGCATAGAGACAATGTCATTCATGCACCTTCGCGGACAAAATGAGCGCTTATACTTCTAAAGTGGTCCCCGCATTCCCCGGCGCGTGTTTTCCCTGGCTGCGGACGAGGAGTTATCGAGAGGCTAACCACACGCCCGCATCCACCTGACGGCCGACTCTTCCCGCATCCACCTGACGGCCGACTCTGAGAGCACAGAGGGCCGTTCTGGCCTTCTTGCCCTCTGCACATATAAAGACTTGACTGACTTCTCCCTGGCTACAGCATGCACGCAGCCGTAACAGACCAAAATGTTGCAAAAATCCTCCAGACGCGGCACACACCAGAGCAAGCTTGCCCGCGTAGCGTCTGGTCACCTCACGGGTGCACCTCCCATGCGCAGAAACTCATTACAGCCGGGGTATCGGGCTTGCAGCAAGTGCCAAGCCGTCTGCTTTGTCACAGTAAATAGGGCGTTGCACAAGCTACACACGCTGTTCTGCTTACTCCGTCAAAAGGCCGTATCTGGACCCATAGTCTACCGGCCGGGTACTTCTACCTACAATACCTACGATATTTTCATACGTCTATAAATAGACCTTTCACTGACTCAAGTACTAAGAAACACCCGGCTTCCTGGGCTGGAACTTTGCAGTGTTTGCACGTCTATAAATAGACCTTTCTATAGTCTGTAGAGTTTTCCATCTGGTGTGGGTGAGTGATAGTCTACTTTGATTTTGGTTAAGGTAGATTATCATTTACAGTGTAATCAGTGAGGGGATTCTGCAGACTGTTGAGGGTTCAGCCTCCTGATGAGTTGGTGAAACTCTGACAAAACAGTTTGTCACAGCCCCTCGTTTGTTGTCCACTTCTCTCTCTCTGCCTACGGTTTTACCGGGCAGTTCTGTTTGTGACGATATATATATATCGTCACAAACAGATATATACACAGCCCCTCGTTTGTTGTCCTCTTCTCTCTCTCTGCCTACGGTTTACCGGGCAGTTCTGTTTGTGACGATGTATATATATTCCTGATGAGTCGGTGAA